GGAGGGACACCCAAATCTCGAGATTTGAAATAACAATAATAATAATAAACTTTCTGTTTCTCCTTGGATACCTCTGTGTTTTGTTTTGTTTTGTTTTTTAATTTGAGTGGCATCCCCCACAGAAAGAAGAAAGGAGGGAAGGAGGAAGATGGTTTGAATGAGAAACTTTAAGGTCCCTCCCAATGCAACATGATCTATTTTGTGTTCTAAAATCCCCTATTCTAAGGCCCCTCCCAGCCCTGACAGCTCCTGTTCTAAGGCCTCTCCAAGATCTGACATTCTTTGTGTGTTATTTTAATAAGGTCTATGTTTGGTTTTCCACGGTCCATTTGGGGGATGTGTTTCCTTAGACAACAGGTCGTTTCAGTTTTGTTAAACACCAAACGTGCTAACAAGCCCCAAACGTTCCCACTTCTGGTGCAAGTTTATCTTCAGGATTTCTCTGTCAATGAATTGCTTGTTGCCCAGTTCTCTTTCTAAGGTCTGTTTAAATCTCCTTTGCTGTCCTTAAACAAGGCAAATAAAGTCAACTTGCTGACTGAACACTCGGAATGTTGAGATTTTTGTTGATCTTTAAATGTTTCTTGTTGTGAATAAAAAGTTCAGTTTGGGAAAAACCAAACAAACAAACAAAACCCGAGTCAAGGTGCCCTGCTTCCGCAGGGCGGGACATCTGGCTCCTGAATATTTCTCTCCACCACAGGGGTCAGAGCCTTTGCGGAATTGGCGAGGCTTTCAAGGCCCACCTGGTGGGGCTGGAACAGGGCCCGGACCTGACAGGTGGGAAATGGCCCAGTACCACCCCTTGTATGATATATGGGGAGGAGGTGTCTACTGTGAATCTCAGCCCAATGCCCAGGAGATCACAGTCCCCGACAGCGATGCAGGACTTGGGGTAGACAGCCCTTCCGAAGGCAGTTCCCCAGAGTCCCACATGACTGGTCAAGTCACCAAGATTGAGCTGGTGGAGAGTGGAGACGAGCAACCACAGGAGACCCCCTCCCCAGAGAACTGGAGCTGTTTGTTAAGGAGCTAAAGCAGAAGGGGATCACTCTGGGTTATACCCAGGCTGACGTGGGCATCACCTTGGGGACTCTCTTTGGCCAGGTTTTTAGCCAGACCACCACCTGTCACTTTGAGGCACTACAGCTCATCTTCAAGAACATGTGTAAGCTCCGAACTTTGGTACAGAAATGGCCAGAAGCTGCAGATGACAATGACTACCTTCAGGAGCTATGCCAGGCTAAGACAGAAAGAGGAAACACACAAGCCTTGAGAACGGAGTTTGGGGAAACTTGGAAACCATGTTTCTCCAGTGTCCCAAGCCCACACTTCAGCAGATCAGCAATGTTGCCGAGGAGCTGGGGACTTGAGAAAGATGCCTGAGTTGGGTTCTGTAACCAAAGGGCAAGTGCAGCAGTAGCAGCACAGTGGAGAAGATTGTGAGGCAGCTGGCTCCTTCCCTGGGGCACCTAAGCCTTTTCCCCCTAGCTCCAGGCCCTCCATCCAGTCATCCCAATCATGGGGGCCCTCCTGTCACCACTCTCTATTCCCCAGCTCCTTTCACAGAAGGGAATGCATTTTCCTCTCTCCATGTTAGGCCCCTGGGCTCTACCATGCATTCAAGCCGAAGGGTTTGGGGGGAGGCGGTGAGAGATTAGAGATGAGGAACCCAACATATTGTTTTAAGGTCTGGGAGTTGATGGTTGAGCTATCTATATCCTGGGAATGTTTAGGAACAGGGAAGGACAGGATCAATATTTCAGAGATTCATAAACAGATTTTGTGAGGGGAATGGATGGGAGGGAAGTTGAGAAGTGCACTGTTTGCTAGTTCTGCATCTCTTTCATCGCTTAAATAAAGCAATCTAAAAATAAAAAAAATACAGTTTGAAAGTTAAGGAGTCTCAAAGCTTACTGTGTGGCGACCCCTTCCTACTAGACACACATGTTGTCACTCAGACAGATGTCTGGCAGTTTTTTTCCAAGAGGAAACAAAGATAAACCTGCCAAGCCACCAGAAGAGGAGCTAGATGCTCACCTGTTCCCTGAGAGGTTGGAAGCTTCAAAACCAGTAGGGTCCAGTGGGAAAAGTGCTGGATTTGGAGATGATGACCTGAGCTCAAAGATTGGTTGGGTCATTTACCTGTGTGACCCTAGTGATCACTTCACTCTATGCTTTAGTTTCCTTACTTGTGAAATGAGGATCAGATGAGGTCCAATTAATCCACAAGCATTTGTGAAACTCTTCCTACCCGGCAGGCCCCGTGGACAGAAGGAGGATAGTGACTGTTGCTGGAAAAACCATAGCTCTGACTTTATGGACCTTTGTCAGCAAGGTGACATCTCTGCTTTTTAGTACGCTGTCCAGATTTGCCAGTTTTCCTTCAAGGAGCACGTGTCTTAATTTCATGGCTGCAGTAACTGTCTGCAGTGATCTTTGAGCCCAAGAATATAAAATCAGACACTGCTTCCAAAGATCTGTGCGGTCAAAGCTATGGTTTTTCCAGTAGTAATATATGGCTATAAGAGTTGACTATAAGGAAAGCTGAGCATTGCAGAATCAACATTTTGAACTGTGCTGGACAAGACTTTTGAGAGTCACTTGGACAACAAGGTGATTAAATCAGTCAATTCTTTTTTTTTTTTTAGCCAAAGACAAGGTTTATTAGAACATCCATCATATTGGGCAAGACTCTCAAGGAGTCTGAACATTAGTAAGCTATTGGCTAGATTTTAAGAATCTGACCAGTGGCTAGTTTATAAGAATCCCAGCATCTTAATGGAGACAAGGTGGACCCTATATACAGAAAGACTGTGGGAGGGATCTAGGAGTGGCCAGTAAGCTGGGTGAATAGAGGACCTGGACCTCGAGGCCAAGGGAGAATGGAGCCTAGCTAGGATTAAGGGTGGGAAATGGCCAGGGGCCATAGGGAGGTAAGACAATGGAGGGGAGATTGGGTGTAGCCACAATGAAAGGCCAGTTAAATCAGTCAATTCTTAAAGAAATTAATTCAGGCAGTTCACTGGAAGGTCAAATACTGAAGCTGAAACTTGAATACTTTGACCACATAATGAAAAGATGGGACTCATTGGAAAAGTCTCTGAAGTTGGGAAAGATTGAAGGCAAAAGGAAAAGGGGACGGCAGAGGAAGAGATGCATAGATCATGTCATGGAAACAATAAACTTGAACTTGGACAGACTCTGAGAGATAGTGGAGAAAAGAAGGGCCTGGAGGCTGTGGTCCAGGAGGTCAGGAAGAGCTGGATGGGAATGAATAACAATAAGGGACTGTTCTTGTGAGCCTGTTGGGATAGGTAACTCCCAGGTGAGAAAATGCCTTCTACCATTCCAAGCTCACACCTTCCCTGCAGCTCTTACAGAGTAGTCCTGAGCCCCTAGCCAAGGTTACACAGCCACGGTGGGTCAGAGCAGGACTCAAAACCAGGTCTTCTGACTCTGAGGCCAGCTTTCTCTATCCACTACTACTTGCTTTTCCCACTGGGTATAAAAAGAAAGGCAAAAGCAGTTCTGATTCTCAGGGAGCTAGTGAGTCAAGAAGCATTCATTAAGTGCCTACTATGTTCCAGTTAGTCAACAAGCATTTATTAAGTGTTTCCTGTGTACCAGGCACTGTGCTAGATGCTGGGGATAGGTAAAAGACAGTCCCTGCCCTCAAGGAGCTCACAGTCTAATTGGGGAGCTAGCATACAAACAACTAGGTACAGGTGGGATAAATTCCAGATCGGCTGGAGATATCTAACAGACAGAAAGTGCTGTGCATGCAGGGAGATTGGGAGAAGGTGGGACTTTAGCCGAGACTTACAGGAGGCCAGAGAAGCCAGAGGCAGAAGAAGGAGACAGATCCAGGCCTGGGGCCAGGCAAGTGACAACGCCCAGAGTCGGGATATGAGAGGGACTGGGGGCTCAGGATGAAAAAAGATATTGAGGGGCTGGGTCGGGGGCTCCAGCATTTTGGCATCATGGATCCATGTGGGACAGCAACCCCAACCCAAATGAAACTCAGAGACTTCTCAAGGTGGAAAGCAAAGGTTACCTTTGGTACAATCTCGTGAGATGGCTGTCTGCTCCTTGCATACAGGTGGAGAGAGATAGAGACCTCGTAACCGGCCGCCTTATAAAAGCTATTCACCGCCCACCACGCAAACAAGTCTCCACCCACCACTATCCCTTACCCCCTTAACTGGGGGTGGGCTTACATTCTAACTGGGAGGTGGGGCTTACATTCTAAGCTGGAAAGTTTCTTCCTATCCCCTCAACCGGGAGGTGGGGCTTACATCCTAGGTGCAAAATTCAAAGACAAAAAAAGAGGCCTGAAGCCAAGGGCAAACGGCTCAGGTTGGGGATGAGGCAGGGCTTATTCTTAAAAACAGGGTCTAAGTGGGGGAGGATTTTGAAAGTAATAATCAAGAATTATTTGACCCTTTGAGGAGCCTTCACTTCTGAGAGTTCATTTCTCACACTACCTTCTGAACTCATTACCTTAATTACACTGAGAAGTCTTCCCTGGGACATCCCATTCAGATCCTTTTGGCAGTCACCCTTTGGACCCCTTCTCCCAAGAATGTTTTCAAACATGTGAAATTGCATACAACACACTGTGTCCACCCAGGAGGGGCTTCAGCCTTGACACCTCGGACTCCAGTGAATCTACAAAAGATGGCAACTCAAGAACACAGGTTAAGTTGGCTTCAGGGCCACACAATAAAATACATAGGGCTGCAAAGGAAACTGATTACATTGAAATAGTTGTCACATTTTTGTTAAAGCTTATGGTCCCCAGATTAAGACCCCCCCCAGGGCTAGAGATGGTGACCACCGTATGCCCTTGGCAGCTGCAGCCCCTGGCACTGCCATCTGACCTAGCCCGTGCCCTCTAGGGCCAGGCCATCCGCCCTGCAGCTGGACTCTCTTCTGTGTACTGTCTCCCCCCAGCAGGACACGGGCTCCTGAAGAGCTGGGGCTTCCTGGCCTTTCCATTTTCACATTCATTCATTCATTCATTCATTCATTCATTCATTTAATCTAACACGGAAAAATGCAGGAGGGAAAGGTGGTGGGACAAGAGGAGTTCTGAAAAAGATCCGGGGGCTGTAGTGGACTGCAAAGTCAGCAGGTGGTGACTTGGCGGGTGAAGCCAGACAGCCGGAGCCTTGTGGAAAGGAGCCGTTCTTCCCTGGAACGGTGGACAGGCCGCACGTGGCGGTGGGGGCAGGGAGCGGGCAACACTGCGCAGATGCCCCAGGTTGCCTAGGCAACGGGCGGGGAAAGAGAGGCCGGGCCCCATGGTGCTGTCCCCGGGGCCCAGCCTGCTCCGGTTCATCTTTCGCCTTCAACTCGGCCGTCACAGCCGCCCCCCGCGCAGAAGCCTCGGGGTCGCCTCCACAGGAGACAAGAGAGGCAGCAAAGACGTGGGCCTGGTGCCCAGCATCGTGCCCACCCTGCACTTCCAGGACAGCCTGCCCCGGTGAGGCCGGAGGTGGGGGGGGGACGACGACAACGACTGACCAGAGAAGGGGCGGGGCCAATTCAGGGGCGTGACAAGGGGGCGGGGCTTTATCCAGTGCTAGGCCGCTTAAACGCACAGCTTGCCCCGGGAGGAGTCGGGGGTGGGGCCAGATAGGGGGCGGGGCCGAGGGAGGAGGGGCACTTCCTAGGAATCCTCGTTGTTTAGTCTGGTTTTTTTTTCAGTTCTGTCTGACCCTTCGTGACCCCCATTTTGGGTTTTCCTGGCAAAGATACCGGAGTGCTTTGTCATTTCCTTCTCCAGCTCATTTTACAGATGAGGAAACTGAGGCAGACGGGGTGAAGGGTCACACAGCTGAGAGGTCGAATTTGAGCTCAGGTCTTTCTGACTCGAGGCCTGGAGCTCTACCCCCTGCTGCACCTACCTGCCCCTTCCCCACCACATATCTATGCCAGGGGGACCCAGAAGCATTTATCCCAACCCTGACCCACCTTTACTCTTGGATCCAAGGACGCTGACCTGCTGACCCTCCATCTCCAGACTTGGGGCATTTTCTCTGGCTGTTCCCCATACCTGGTGCTCTCCCTCTCCCACTGCCATTACTGACCTTCTGAGCTTCCTTTAAGTCCAACTAAAACCCCACCCTCTTCAGGAAGCCCCTCTTGGTGCCAGGGACCTCCCTCTGTTCATTATTTCCTATTTGTCCAGTCTACGGCTTGCTTTGTACCTATTCATTTGCTTGGTGTCTTCTCCATTAGACTGGAGGCTCTTGGAGGGCAGGAACCATCTCTGGCCTCTTTTTGTTTCCCCAGCACTCGGCACAGTGCCTGGTACACAGTAGGTGCTTAATCAGTGTTTATGGATTGACCGGCAGAGCAAGAATCTTCAGCCCAGCATCCCCAGTGGATGAGCCTCAGTTTCTCCATCTGTCAGATGACTCTGAGACGCATGCAGCTGCAGAGCTATAGTCCGAAGCTGTGAATCCCAGGACTCAGGCCTGGAAGAGGCTTCAGAGGTCCCTTCCCAGCCTCCTCACACCATCGCAGGCACTTGCATGGGGCAAGGGGTCAGTCTTCCCTGTCAGATGAGGAGGCTGGACCAAGTGCCCTGTGAAGTCCTTGGCAAGGTATCCCCAACATCTGGCACAGTGCCTGGTGTATAGAAAGAAGCGGCTTAATAAAGCACTTATTGATAGATACCCAAGTGGCACTGTCAGGTGGTGGAAGTAGACAGTTAGGATCTGGAATCAGGAAGAGCTGAGTTCAAATCCAGCCTGGACCCTGTGCCCTCTGGAATGCTTTCTTCTTAAATCTTTTCTTTACTCCCTCCCTCCATCTTCTGGCTCTTACTGAGACCTGGCTCCTTCATGATGCCTGCCCCCCGATGGCCACCCTTTCCAGCACTGTCCCAACTTTCCCTCGTTCCTTCCGCTGCTGCTGGGAGAGTGGGATTATTCCTTGCTCCCCATTGCCACTTTCAAATTCACCATATTCCGTCATCACTTGGTGACTTCTCTCTCCATGGGGTCACTCAATCTGTGTCTGACACCCAGTCAAAATGCTGGTGGTGGCTGTTCTCTGCCAACCACCAGGACACTCCCCTTCCTTTCTCAATGAGTTTGGTGCCCAATTCACAGACCTTCTCTCCCCCCAACTCTCGCCCCCACCCTAGAGGACTTCAGCCTACCTATTGATACCCCCTCGAAAAGCAGGCTGGGCGAAGGAACACTCAGTTTGGGCAGCAGGTCACTGGCCTGCAGAGTGAGCGCCTCCTCCACCAGCAGGGATGGTCACGCCTTTGACCTTGGCATCGCCCATGTGCACCACCCTCATGTTCATGAACTCTCAAATTCCCTTTTCTACTCATAATCCATTGTCATTCAGCGTCCCCCTGACCTCCAGCCCCTTGGCCTCAGTTCTTTCCCAGGTCATCCTGTCCTGCCCTGGCTACGCTCTCCTCTTCTCTTGAGGTGTCTGCCCCTTTATCCTATAGCAGATCTCACCCTGCCAGACCTGAGCCTTGGATTACTCCTTCTCCCTTGTCTGGCACACAGAGGCGGCCCTTCTCATTGCCAAGGAAAACCTAGGCACGGTCCAGCAGATTCCCCTCTGTCACGCTCAATCTCTCCTACTGGCCACCGTCCTCTACCTGTATCTGACATCCTGTACCTCTTCTCTTCTGCTGTTAAACTCCTTGAGAAGACTGTCCACCTCCTCTCCTCTCCCTCCCTTCTCCAGCCCTTGCAACCTCATCATTCCACCAGAATTCCTCTCTCCTAAGTTTCCGAGGATCTCTTAGAGGCCACATCCAGTGGCTTTTTCTCCACTCCCATTCTCCTTGATCTCTGCCGCCTCTGGTGCTGTTAATTACTCTCCCTTCCTTGACACTCTCTTCTCGCTAGGTTTCTGAGTCACTCCTCTCCCCTGGTTCTCCTCCCTCTCTGCTCCTTCTCGGGCTCTTTGCTGGATCATGGCCTCTAACCCTAGGAGTCCCCCAGGGCTCTGTCCTGGGCCCCCTTCTCTTCTCGCTCTGTAGTGAACCCTAACTCTAACCCTTCATGTGTTAGCTCCCATGGATTTAATGACCATCTTGATGCTGACGAGCCTCAAATCTACCCCTCCTGCCCCAACCTCTCTGCTGACCTTCAGTGTCTGCTTCCAGCTTCTGTCCAGACTTATTTCATGTCCCTCTTCTGCACTCATTTTATATCCCAGCCAAATGGGCCTAATGCCTTGCCTAATCTTGGTCCCTGGAATGCACCCCCTGCTCCTCTCTGCCTCTTGGGATTCTTGGCTGGAGACTCAGTTCATGGTCTGCCTCTTCTGGGAAGGATCCCCCCTCCCATTAGCTTGTATTTCTTTGTCAGTTCATATTCCATTTTTCCAAGTAAAATAGAAACTTTGTGGGCAGGGATGGTTTTATTTTTGTTTCTGTATTCCCCGCACTCAGCACACAATAGGCACTTAATAAGGGTTCACTGAATTGGACATATTTTGATTTTATAAATATATGTAAGAGCCTTCAAGGAATTGTAAAGGGAAGGGCAAACTCCTGACAGCCGTTAACAAGGTGTGTGGGCATGTGCTGAGACCTCCCGTGGCCACGTGCTTTGGTGGAAAGCAGCAGCAGCACATAGAGTCAGGAGCCTTGGGTTCTAGCCCTGCCTGGGTCACCTTTGTGGACCTCAGTTTCCTCCTCTGTAAAACAAGAGGGTTGGATTAGAGGTCAGGTCTTTTCCAGCCCTAGACTCGGCCTGTGGTCCTCTGGGGCCTTCTTGTAAGCAGGGAGCTGACTTTGGGCCTTTCTAAGCTCTGGGCACTTTTATCCCAGCGTACACTCACACGGATTAATTGAGTCCCAAGAGGACTCAGAGATGGCTACTGGGTGTCCCTGAGAGGCTGGGTGTCCTTCTGTTGCTATTGGCTTGAGAGTCCATTGTGTTCTCCCCAATACCAGTCACCAGCAATGATGATAGTAATGGCACTTATATAGTATTTTAAGGTTTGCGGAGCACTTTACAAATATCTCATGTAATCCTTACAGCCTTTGGAGGTTGGTTCCATTATCCCCATTTTACAGTTGAGGAAACTGAGGCAAACAAAGGTGAAGTGACTTGCCAGGGTCAGACAGCTAGTAAGTGTCTGAGGTCAGTCAGTCAGTCCTGACTCCAGGTCCAGGGCTCTATCCACTGCCCCACCTAACTGTCAGTGAGGAGCCCTCAAGTACTGGTTAACCCATTAACCAGTTAGCTCTTACCAAAGGATATTTCCTGAGAAGACAGGCTAAGACAGGAGCTTCTACGGCCAGCTGCACAGGGCTACTTTCCTCACTGGTGAGTCCCACTTTGGACTTTCGAAAGCCTGCACCAGCCCAGCCCAGTCTGTACTGTCTCCAAGCCTCCTTCCTGAAGGCAACAAAGAGTGACATTTGGACAAACGTTGGATATTCTGCCCAACACAAAATGACTGGACAGAGGATGGCGCCCTGTAAGAAATGAAGAAACAGAGGGTCCAAGAAGGCTGGGAGGCCTTGCCTGAACTGCTGCTGTGACAAGACAGCCAGACCAGCATGGGCTGTGACGTCGGTACTGGAAAAGGAACAACTTGGGACGATGTCGAAACATGGCTCAGCGCAGCGACCCTCCTCCACAGCGGGGGCCAGAGCGGCCAGATGAAACACGTCCGGACGTGGCCAGCAATGGCTGTGTGTTACGAGGGTTTAGTTTTTCTTTCTTTTGTTAATGGGGGAGAGGGAGGGAAGAAGAAAGAAAAAGTGCTTGGTAACCTTGAAGAGTTTCTACATGCCTACTGGATGTATGCACACATGTCTAGTATATGGAATTAAGATTCTTAATGGCCTTGCAACAAAGGAGGTGTTGAATGGGTGCCAGGATGTAGGGCTGCCCCCCTCAGTGGGGTCGTGAATTCATGGAGAATTGCCACGTGTGGTCAACACAGTATCTGGCCCAACTCTGGCTAAGCACTGGCCCTCCCCTTCCAGAGGTCTGGCAGCCAGGTGAGAGCCCCCGCCAAGGCAGAGCACTGTGAGCTGAGGAGACCAGAGGCGCCCAGCTGGGGAGCCATTGGAAGGGACAGTTCCCAACTGGCAGAATGGAAACTGATTTCAGAGTTCAGCTCAGGTGCAGCCAAGACTGGAGTCCAGTTGCTAGGCTATTCAGAGAGGTCCAGGAAGTCAGGCAGGTGGCCGATCGGCTGGTATTTAAGTCTGCGCTCTGTACTAGGTGCTGTCAGCAGGAAGCAGATAGGGAAGGATGGATGGAGACTTTTTAAAAATTAATTTTAAACTTAAATACAAAATAAGAAAAGGAAAGAAGCATTGCCCTGTGCACAGCAAAATATAAGAGAGGATTCAAAATATACAGCAACAAATTTCCATTTCAAGAAAGCCTATATAATAAATACTGTGTGTTGTGGTGGGAGTGGTCCCTCTTTTCTTCCTTGTAAGGTTTTTTTGTTCTCTGCTGTGTGCTTCTTCCTTTGTTCTTTTTCCTCCCTTCCCCCCCAAGCAGGCTACAATTAAACACAGACACATATATATACATACACACACATATACATACATGCACATATCTATAATTATAATATCTATAATTTCTGAGGGTGGATAACTTCTTCCTTCATAAGTCCAAGTCTTTCCATATTTTTCTAAGTCCACCAACTCATCATTTCCAATACCATAGGAGCATCAACCTTATACTGTCTACCTATTTTAAACAATCTAAATCAATATTGATTAATACGGCTGACCTGGCATTTCATACCTTTAAATTCAGCGTCTTTAGAAAGGGTGCAGGACTGGCCAGAGTAAGATCCTGGGTGTTCTCCAAACTTGTCATTCCTTCTCTAGCCTCAATGCCTTTGCCATCCTGGCCATTGCAGCTTGCTCCAAGGAGCTTCTGGAAACCCCTTTCTTTCTCCCAGGGCCCTTCAGACCGTCCCCTCTGATGCTCAGGGCGGCTGGGGTTTGGCAGTTGGAGCCCCGAGAGCCAAGTTCTTGTGTCGGCTCTGTCACCAAGGCAAGTCACTGCCCCTCTTGGCCTCAGACTCCTCCTTTTCAAGTTGGTTTTGGAAGAAAGTGGTCTGTGATGCCGGAGATGGTGGAGGGCAGGGGCTCACCTCCCCATTGCAGGGCCGTGAAGTCAGCTAGCCTGTGCCAGATTTAGGAGGATGCTATTACAGCTCATAGTACAGGGGAGAGATGTCTCATTGCCAGTTCCATCCATGGAGTGTGGCAGCATCGGGTTCCATTGTATCTATTGTTACCTGGGCCATCAGCCAGGAGGAGCTGGCTTTACCCATTTGGTCAGCCAGGCATTCAAAGTGTGGTCAATAAATGCTAGGTTTGGAGTCAAGAGGCTCAATCTGCATTTCCCCTCTCTTGGACTCAGTTTCTTTGGCTGTAAAATGGAGTGATTGGATCACAAATGGAAAGAATGACAACAAAATACTGTGAAATTATAATATTACCAGCAATGACCAGGCAGAGACAGAAAGAAGAGAGATGAGGACGTTCTTCCCTCATTGCTGCTCAGGACTCGCGCACTCTAGTGAAACCAGCCTCCTTGGGGTCCTCCAGACTTTCTGGTCCATCTCTAGCCTCCGTGCCTTTGCATAGATTACCCCCCATTCTTGGAATGAAGAGGTTGGGCACTGTAGGACGTTGGCGTTGACTGAAGGGCTGGTGAGCTTGGCTTCTTGGGTAGAAGGGATAGCTGGTTCTTTGGGCGGAGCATATGAGGGGACATGCCAGTGTCGTGAAGCAGATCTATGGCTGGGCCCTCTCCTCCCTACGTGCAGGGCCTGGTGATGGCAGGTGAGCCCTTCCTGGGCCCCTCATTGCCAGAGCCTGGGGCCAGGCTGGACACAGCCTAATGTGACTGTTTTTTCTTCAGATTGCCCATTCCCAGACTCGAAGACTCTATCGCCAGATACCTGAGAGCGCAGGAACCTCTGTTAACTGCAGATAAATTCAGGTAGAGATGATAAAGAGCAGGAAACGAGAAGCCCACAGGTGTAAGAACCAGGCCCAGCTCATGGGCCCAGCAGAAATTATGGGGGTGGGGAGCACACCACACACCTCCTTTCCAGTCATGCCTTTGACTGGCAGGACCCGGCTAACTAGAGATTGATTAGCCACCATTTTAGTGGATTATTTCTAGTTACATTGACTGTCCACTCAGTCAGAGCTGAAGAATGCCCAGAGAATATGTCTTCTTCTTTCTTCTCCCCTCACTGATGCCTCCTAAGAGCCCCAGGAGGGGAAAGCAAGAGGGCGGGCTGCTAGTCTGCGGAGGCCAGGGAAGGTTGGAAGTGGAAGGAGATAGCGTCCACAGCCGTAGGGTGCTAGCCCTGGCTACACCGCCCCCGCGGCATCTTGTGGCCAGTCTCCTAGATTTCAGTTTGAATCTCAGGGCTGACGAGGGAAAGGAGGAGGAGGGAGACAGAGAGGAAGCTGAAGGTGCGGCCAAAGGCCACCGCACAAACCAAGACTCTGCTCTGTTTTTCAGGAAAACAGCAGCATTTTCCCACAAGTTTCAGCATGGCCTCGGCAGAGAGCTGCATGACATGCTGATTTTCCAGGATCGACACAGTCAGCACACTAGCTATATTTCAGGTAGGAGGCGATGATGTGGTCAGGGAGCGGGGTGAGGCAGCTCTGGAGGGCAGAATCTAAGAAGGCCATAGCTTTGTCACAGGGGCCGAGCTCTGAGGCTCTTGTCCCTCCTCTTCACCCAAGAAACCATTTTTCAGGATGTCAGAGCAGGTGGGGCCCACTCCTGAGTGATGGGACTCTGCCTCTGCCACTTACCTACTCAACATCATTTTTTTTTAGGCAATTGGGATTGAGTGACTTGCCCAGGGTCACTTTGATTTGAACTCAGGTCCTTCTGACTCCAAGGCTGGTGCTCTATCCACTGTGCCACCTAGCTGCCCCCCAACATCACTTTTCCTAACTTTAACATGAAGAGGGTAAAGCAAGCCTGAAAGTCAGGAGATCTGGGCTCCAGCCTCCACCACCCAACTTGTGACTTCGGTGTCGTCTGTGTCCAAGGCTGGAGCCCCAGACTTGGCGGGGGTGGGAGTGGGGGTGGTGAGGAATGGGAAATAAGCATTTGTTAAGCATCTACTATGTGTCAGGCACTAGGCTAAGTATTTTACAAATAACTCATTTGATCCTTGCAACAACCCTGCAAGGTCGGTGCTATTATCATCCTCATTTTGCAGCTGAGGAAACTGAGGCAAACAGAGGTGAAGTGACTTGCTCAGGGTCACCCAGCCAGTAAGTGTCTGAGGCTGGATTTGAGCCCAGGTCTTTCTGACTCCAGGCCCCGGGCTCTGTGGCGCCCCCTAGCCACCTGACTTGGAGTCCGGAAACCTGGGTTGTGCCTGCACCCAACGCTGTCCGTGGTCCTGCCACTAGAGCCTCCCTAACCCATGCACCCGAGTTTATTCAGCAGTAAACAGAGTTCACAGAAGTTTGCGTAGGGTGGGCCCGCTCCCTCAGCATGTCCTGTAGTGGAATGAAGATTCTCGTTCATAGCAAGGGCCAACCCTCAGGACAACTGCAACAGCGACCATTGGCCGGGAGCAACTTTCCTGGCATGCCTCTCATCAGCCCTCTCCTCCCCTCCTGCTGCCTGGTGGCCGATATGTGCCTCCAGGCCCTCACCCCCTCAGCCCTGGACCACTGCCTCTGTAGCTGCTGGTGGGTCTGCCTGCCCCACCCCACCCCCTTTCCAGCCCATCCTTCACTCAGCCACCAAAAGGATTCTCCTGCTGGGCAGGTCTGACCCCCCCCCATTATTTATAAACTCCAGTGGCCTCCTGTCTGTCACCTCCAGGACCAAATATAAAACCCTGTTTGGCCTTTAAGCCTCCATCACTGGCCCCTGCTACCTTCCCAGCCTATACTTCCTACCGCCTAGCCCCTCTACACACGCACACTGTGACCCAGTGACAGTGGCCTCTGCTTTCCCTTGCAACGAGACCCTCCCTCTCTGGTCTCCAGGCATCTTCACTGGCAGTGTCCCACGCCTTCTAGCTCCCTCCCCAGGCTCCCCTGGTTTCCTTCAGGTTCCCTCTAACATCTCTTTGAGCCTTTCCTGATCCCCAGTGCCTGCCCCTGCCCATGAGGTTGTCCCCAGTTCATGTTGTCTGTATCTTGTCTGGACATAGTTGTTGGCATGTTGTCTCCCCCAGTAGACTGGAAGCTCCTTGAGGGCAGGGACTGCTTTGTTTTACCTTTCCTTATGTCTCCAGGGCTTGGCACTACATGTGGCACACAGTACCCTGGTCATCTCCTCCGGCCCCTAAGTAGATGGAGACCAAGGGACGTCCTGTTTACTGTTGTCCAGTACCACAGAGCCATGCACGCAGGCAGCCACTGAGCCCAGGCCTGAATGGGCATGTCACAAAGGGTACATGCTGATTAGAGAGTGGATGGCGCTATCTCTCATTGCTATCTGGGTGCCCCTGCCTATGAAGCATGATTTCATTCAGAAGGGACCTGCCTTGATCAAATGGCGGGAACTCGGTGTCGTGTTCCCAAACAAATCTTATTAGGTTGTTATTTTTTTTTAAGATAAACCAGAGGCCAGCAACTGCACCAGATCAGGGGTGCCAGGACATGTCTGCTCCTCATGCTTAGAGGCCTCTCTATGCCTTTGGGGGCCAAGACACCAAGAGATAAAAGCTCAGCCTTATTGCCTGACCACCTATGGGTGCCTCTACCTTTGCCCACATAGGCATGTTTTCACTTTCCCTACCACTCCCCCCGCCATGTCCTTCTCAGGGAGGGAGACCCAGCAACCAGAGGAGATAGCATCTGCAGTGCAAGGGTGTTAGCCCTGCCCTCCCCACCCCTACAGCATCTTGTGGCCAGTCTCCTAGATTTCAGTTTGAGTCCCAGGGCTGACAATTAGAACGTGGGTCAAGTGAAGACAATAGTAGTAACACCTGCCTCCCAGGCAGCTGTGGGGAAAGTACTCTGGGTGAAGCAGAACAGAAGTGTGACACCAGCCTTATCTTCCTTCTTACCTATTAGGGTAAATTGGGGGATGTACGTCTTGCTTTTGGCCAAAGCCCTGGTTTGGGAGAGATGTCTTAGTGTTGTGTCCTGTGTCCCCAAAAGTACAGGATTTCTGTGAGTGGTTCTGCTGGTTTGTATCTATCTGAGGGGGCTGGAAGCTTTTGGAGGGTGGTCTTGACCTTGTCAAGACACTGGGGGTCAGAGACCAGGGATGAGAAGTGAGCACAGGCTAGATTTTGAGGCTCATGACAGAATATCTTAGGTTCCCCACCTCTGTTTTAAACCAATTTGTGTCCATCACTAGAATCAATGAATGAAGTAACAGTCCAGGTAACAGGTGAGAAGGGCCTGAAGAGGTGGCAGTGAAAGTGAATAGGAGGGTAAGGATGTAAGAGACATTGTGGAGATAGGAAGCCATTAAAGGCAGAAGGCAGTAGGAGAAAGGTCATTGGTGGAGGGAGGGGAAGCTGGTAGAGGGGCAAGATAGACGGACAGAGACAGAGGAGGGAGGGAGAGAAAGAGAGAGAGAGAGAGAGAGAGAGAGAGAGAGAGAGAGAGAGAGAGAGAGAGAGAGAGAGAGAGAGAGAGAGGAGAGGAGCTTGGGAAGAGAAGATGAAGCCAGATGGTGCAGGGCTTCTGATGACCCACCATCTCTCCTCTCTCTCTCTCTCTCTCTCTCTCTCTCTCTCTCTCTCTCTCTCACACACACACACACACACACACACACACACACACACATGCACATGCACACTTGAACACATAATGGAAAGGGATGCCAGAAAAATATCTGTGGCAATCAGACGATGATTCCTAAATAGCACTTAGTTCCCATATTTAGAATAGAATGCGCGTGCTATCAATTGAATTCAATAAATAGTTATTCAGCACCTTGATTGGGGACTAGAAGGGATGTCAATGGCCATTGTGTCCAATTCTCATTTTATAGACAAGAAAACTGAGGCCTGAAAAGGTTAAGGTATCGTAGGAAATGAGAGGTGAGCTTTGGATCAAGGCACTCTTGACTTCCAAGTTCAGCATCGTTTCTACTATGAGCCACTCGGGGGCACCACAGCACACAGAGTGCTAGACGTGGAGTCAGGAAGCTGTGAGTTCAAATTCAGCCTCAGACGTTTACTAGCTGAGTAACCCTGACCAAGTGACTTCACCTCTGCCTGCCTCAGTTTCCTAACCCATATCCGGGATGATCACAGTACCTCCCTCCCCGGGTTATGAGGCTCAAATGAGATTGTATGTGTAAAGAGCTATGCGGACCACAAGGCACCCCATCAGTGCTTTCATCTCCATGCTAAGTTGCCTCTGTGCTGGGCATTTGGGCATACGAAGACCACCATGGAGTGTTTCTTGCCCTTGGGTACTTCATGTAACCCGTCCAAAAGCCCATATGAGTCTCTCTCTTTATTGGTGGAGATGAGTGCCCTGCTTGAGCAGTCCTGGCTTCCATTCCCAGTTGGCCTCTTTGAATCTGGAAGCAAGAAGATCCCGAAGCAACTGCATGCTTGAAGAGATGGGGAGAAGACTTGCAGCCCCTCACATAGGGCCAGGCCTTCATCACCACCTGTAAGGAAAGATTCCCCCCCCAATTGACTTTGGGACAGGGTTACCCCTACATCCCACTGGATCTATGAATCCGCACAATCAAAGGAATAGAGAACTGGAAGCATCTCAGAGACTGTAGGAGAGACCTTTGAGGTTTGGTCCAATTCCCATCATTTTACAGATGAGAAAACTGAGGCCCAGAGAGGGGAATTGACTTGCCTGAGTCTATCCAGGTAGTAATTGATAATGTGGGGATTTGAATTCAGATCCTCTCACCCCAAATCCGGTGTTGCTGAGTTCAAATCCCTGATTTTGCAGAGGAAGAAACCAAGGTCCTGAGAGGTCACCGACTTGACCGAGGTTATGTGGTAAAGGTGAGGCTAAAGCCCAGTTCTCCAGACCCCCCCAGGCCAGCTCTCTTTCCACTGCTTCCTGTCATGTCTCCTGTGTATCTTTTTACCTCTCAACACTCCTTTCTCCCTAGATATATGGCTGAACTCTTATCTAGGCCGACGCAATCCACCTGTGTTTAACATGAATGTAGGCTTGGCTTTCCAACCAGACCCCAAAGCAGAGTATAACGACCAGCTCACACGTGCCACCAACGTGACCGTTTCGATCATCCGATTCCTGAGGGCCTTCAGAACTCATACACTAGAGCCCGAGGTGCTGTACCTCTACCCAGAAAGGACCGACACGGAGCTCTTCAAGAAGGTCATCCGCTGGATCCCCAAGTCACTTGTGTGCCAGATGGCCGCCATGTTTGATGCCTACCCCATGGACATGTCCCAGAACTTCAGGCTCTTCAGTACAAGCCGGCTGCCCAAGTTTGGGCGGGATATACTTCTCACAGACGAGAGGGCCAAACACCTGCTGGTGCTAAGGAATGGGAACTTTTATATCTTTAATATCCTACAAAGCGATGGGACCATGATCCAGGCCTCAGAAATCCATGCAAACCTCAAGTACATACTCTCTGATGAGAGCCCCGTGCCCAACTTCCCTTTGGCATATCTGACTACTGAGAAACGGGACACGTGGGCACAGCTGAGGCAAGAACTCCTGGCCAATGGCAACCAAGAAGCCTTAAAGAAGGTGGAAACGGCCATCTTCAGTCTGTGCCTGGATGACCTGCTGGTGCAGGATGCTGACCACTTCACTCGGATCATGCTTTATGGCAATGGGCATAACCGCTGGTTTGATAAGTCCTTCAACCTGATCCTGACCAAAGACGGCTCTGCAGCCATCAACTTTGAGCACTCATGGGGTGACGTCATGACCATCCTGCGCTTCATGAAGGAGGTGTTCCAAGACAGCACGAAGGCCCCCGCAATCGGGCCCCGGGAGGTCCCCATGGCCCCCAATGCCTCCACAGCCGTGAAGAAGCTCCACTTCCACCTAAACGACAACTTGAGGGTGGGCGTCACAAACGCCAGAGCCAACTACGACGCGGCCGTGAGAACCTTCTCAGTCAAGCTGGTACGGTTTAAGGAGGGCAAGTGTTTTCTGAAGCAGGAGGGTGTGAGCCCCGGCGCCATGATCCATCTCGCCTTTCAGATGGCATTCCTTGGGCTCTGTGGTCAGATGGTGTCCTCCTACGAGCCGTGCAGCACGGCTGCCTTCAAGCACGGCCGGACAGAGGTGATCCGCCCCACCTCCATTCATACCAAGAAATGCTCCCTGGCTTTCCAGGAGCCCGCCAAGCACAGTGTGGCTGAGCTCAAAGATATGCTGTCCAAGTGTTCCACCCACCACGTCCAGCTGATCAAGGAAGCTGCCCGGGGTGAGTGTTGGTGCAAGCTACCTTCCTGGGCCAGGTCCAGAACTCCCCCACCTGCCCCTCTCTGCCCTCCAGCTCAGCCCTCAGGTCTCTTTTCCAAGTATTCTACCTTGATCTAGAGATGGAGAGAGGAATGAGGGGAAGGGCTGGAAGAGCCCCACTCCTAGAAGGGCGAGCTGTCATCCATGATGCCATCTTCAGCTGTCCAACCAGCTCCTCCCCATCCCCCCACACCACCCCCAGCCCAGACACATGCAGACTAGCTAAGACCTCCTGAGAACACAAAGGGCAGAAACCAGGGCCCTGGCCAAGCGAGAGACTCAGAGTCATAGAGGGAGGCATTGGGCAGAGCCCTGGGCCCTCCGGGGGCAGAGTGGCCTCAGGTTGTGAGTCTCTTAAGAGGCTTTCTCACTCAGTGGGGAAACAAAGCCTCTGCTCCTTTCCCCAACTTGATCTTGTTCAGACCACCAGGGTCACCCCTTCCCTACTGCTGGTTCTCACGGAGGGGACTGGTAAACATCAAGATGTACTCCCTGGAAGGCTGTTCTGTCTTCCTCCTCCCCCTCTTCCTCCTCTTCCTTCACATCTTCTTCCTCCTCCTTCTCCTCCTTCTCCTCCTCTTCTTCTTCCTTCTCTCCTCCTCCTCCTCCTCCTCTGAACACTCTGCCTCAGGCCACTTCCTCCACCCTTCAGAGCCTCTGACCCCTCCTGCTAGCTCCACGGCCCCTCTCAAATACAAGGGCTGCAGAATCCCAGGCCATTGGTGGTCAGGCTGTGGCTGAGGCTGGACCGTGTGCACAGCAGCAGTCCAGTGTGTATATTGATTGATGAAATCTCAGTGGGATACATGGGCTTTTTAGCATCTAATCTAGCATCTAATATCAACTCTTACGAAAAAGTTTTTTCAAAACCTGACCTAGCCACTCAGCAAGCATTTATTTGGCACCTACTATATACCAGGCACTGTACCAAGAACTAGAAATACAGAGGTAAAAAAATAAAACTCTCTTTGCCTTCAGAGAGCTTTCATCCCACTGGGGCAATAGCGTGGACACATGTAAGTAGAATGGGAGCTCCTTGGGAGCAGAGAGGGTCTCACTCAGTGCAATGCTTTGCACACAGCAAGTGTCAGAATGTTTCGTTCATTTATTTATTCATGTAGATACAAAATACGGAGCAAGTAGCTGCCGGGTAATTTCATTGGCCAACAAGGGGAGGTGCAGTCCAGAAAGGCTTCCTGTAGGAGGCAGTGCTTTGACTCTAGCTTTGAAAGAGGCCAGGGATTCTTCAGTGCAGTATGGGCATGGGGCACAACCTGGCCATGGGAGAGGGCATTGTGTAGGTGACAGACGTTTTGAAGTGGGGCAGGGTGTAATCGGGCTGGAGGTAGATGGGGAAGGGATTCAAGGGCCACATGGAAACTCGCAGGTCAGCGCTTAGATTTCCTCCTGAGTTTTGGGGTCCGGATGTGTGTGGGTGCCCTGGAAGCTCTGCATGGGGTGCCCCCTCGTGCCATGCCCAGGCCAAGGAAGCAAGCAGCAAGCAGAGCTTTCTAGGCTCCCAAGTTCAGCTGAATTCTATAGTCAGGTTTTAAGCTTCGCTGACTGTAGAGTCCTGTGCCAGGAGCCTCAGGAGATACAAAGTTCAGGTTAAAGATGTCCCCTTACTCACGGGGCTTACTGTTTTGGGGGAGAGGAGGAGATAAGCATGTGCAGCCAGGGAGTACATCAGAAGGTTCAAACAAATGGATGGGAAGTCTAAGGGGGAGGTCGCTTCTTGGCCTGCTCAGGCTACAACCAGGTAGGGGCTGAGAGGTCAAAGGTTATCAGCTGAGGGGATCAGGGAAGACTTCTTTGAGGATGTAGCATTTGAGTTTGACTTTAAACAGAGGGGAAGAGAGGGTGTTCTGGGCACACAGAGCACTGTGAATAGAAGCACCAAGGCCGATGGGATTGAGGAGGGCCTTCAATACTGGATGCTGTATAGAGAAGTTTTGGACTTCACTTAGAAGACAAGAAAGAGTGGCTGAAGAATTCCCAAAGACGCTTTTCCTCTTCTGCCTTGTGGACAGAGAAATAAAGAGCAGACAGCACAGGTGGCAGGTCCTAGAGTCAGAATCGTCGAGCCACACGAACCCTTAAAGGTCCTTTTGTCTAATCCCCTGCCCACTGGACAAATGCCCTCAACGGCATTGCTCACTATCAGGTGTCCAGCCGCTGCTTGAAGACTCTGGAGAGGATTGGGGAGGGTTCCTTTCAGTTCACTTGAACTGCTCCATATTCGGGAACCTATTAGGGACAGAGGTGAAGCCTGCCTTCAGGGAGCTTACAGCAGATATGACTCAGAGGCATTACAGCTGGTGGGACCATAGTGCCTTGGTTCCAAGATCCAGAGAAGGGAGAGCTCTCGCCATATTCCTGTGCTCCTGAAAGATCTGACCCTTCCATCCCAAGAGCACACCCCATGTGAAGAGAAGCGGAGGCAGAAGCAGATGAAGATGGTAATCCCGGGCTGAGGGCTGACAAGGTTTAAGGGGCAACAGGACAAGGATGTGACAGACTGTGTGAAGGTGAATTGGTTAACTGTAGGGTGAAGATTGGAAAGGGAAGTCAAAGCAAGGGAAGTGAGAAATGACTGAGTAGTGGAGAGATTGAAGGTTGCAATGGGGGCAAAGGATAGGTTTAGGAGGGGTGAGACATAGGGAGAGGTTATGGTCAGATAGAGGAGTGTCAGAGTTTCTGATTAAGGAAATGCTTGTGGGATACCTGATGACCATCTCTGTGAGTGGCTAAGGTGGATACGATCATTGGATTTAAAGAAATTGAGGAACTAGGAGCTTCAGAGAGCAACATGGATGTTGAAGGCCCCGAGTTTAGTGAGAGGAGCTAGAGAGGAAAGGAAGGGGTAAGCCAGGGGTTAAGGTCCTTGAGAAAAAAGGGAGAATGTTCTAGGCGTTGATATCAACAACTACCATGATTTAAATAAAGTGAAAAATTGTAGAGAGAGGTTTCTGAGTGATGACATCAGAAGGAAAGTGTGAAGGTGGTAGTAGGGAGCAAGGAGGATTCTGAATCCCCTTCCAGGCCCAGCGTATGGGAGGCAGAAGGGAAAGCACAGTCAGTGTGGGAGGACAGCCAAGGATTCGGTGTCACCTGGGAAAGCCAGGTCTCAATAACAGCAGGCTAATGGAAGGCTCCTGAAAGGAAGAGGCCCAGAAGGAATGGGAGTCCCAGAGAGAACAATGGAAGGGGGAAAGGTTGTCTTGGGACTTAGAGAGAGAAGAGCTGAGGAGGATGGGGAGGACAGCAGTAGTTTACTCCTAGAAAACCAAAGGAGATTCCGGCAGGCAGCTGAGGGAGATTGTGGAGGAGCTGTGATGCTCCCAGAATATCAGAGGAGTTTGTAGAAGGCCAAGAGTGTCACCCCTCTTGCCCCTCCGGGCGGCCTCTCAGCGCCAAAGACTGGAGGAAGAGGCTGTGCTTGTTTTATTGGCCGAAGACAATGACCCTGGAAGCGGAAACCTCTATGGGGCTGAGACACAAGATAAATGAGCAGATAAGAAAAGACCATGGCCTCACTCCCCATAAAGAGCTTATCACCAGACCCAGATTAAAGACCTCTCAGGGTGTTAGAACAACTGGCAGATGTGATTCCCCAGCTTCTGTTCCCTGAGGATAGAAGAATCCCAGGAAGGCTGGAGATGGATACATTGTCTTAGAAGGGAAGGAACGGAATCCGCAGATGAGGGGACAACAAGCTGGATGTTGCTTGATGCCAAGTTCACTAAAGGGAGGGTCAGTGAACCTCTAGAAAAGGAGAAGGGGACTAGAATGTGGTCACAAAGAGCTGACACCATTTCATCAAGAGTAGACCATGCCAGACTAACCTCACTTCCTTTTTGGAAAGGGTTACCAGACAGACAGGCCGAGGGAATGCCAGAGCTAGGGTTTATCTAGGTTTAGGCAAAGCTTTTAGCAGTCTCTCATCCTCTTCCCCCAAGTCAGCCAGCCCCTCCTGTACACTTTCCCATTTCTGTTTGGGCGCTGCATCTTTCCTGTCACCCGGGCTCACAGGCGTAGGGTTATCCTTGACTTTTCTCTCTCCCCCATCTACCAGATTCAGTCAGTTGGCAAACGTTGTAAATTCTACTTCCACAACATTTCTCACGTCTATCCTCTTCTCTCCATGGACACCCCCTCCTCGCCTGGGCTACCACCATAGTGTCCTTGGACTCTCTGCTTCCATCCAGCCCCCACATTAGTGGCCCAAATAGTCTTCCAAAAGCATAGGTCTACACATGCTACTCAAGGGGCTCCTTCAAGGGCTCCCTGTTACCTCTAGGATGCAATATAAACTGCCCAGCTTGGCATTCAGAGCCCTTCAGGCTGGCTCCAGAATAGGAATCTAAGCTTTACTCTTCTTCACACACTTAGTAATTCAGCCACACTTGGCTTCTTGGTGTTTCTCAAACTTGGCATTCTAGTTCTGCCAAGACTTTGCCCTGATGGCTGGAATCCAACCACTTCTCCCTTCTGTCTTGGCTTCTCTGTGGCCTAGCCTAGAGACCCCCCTCCTTGTATTAGCACTGTCTCCCTCTTCAAACTGTCTCCTATTTATTTATCTCTTTACATGTTGTATTTATACACACCCCACCCCCCAGCACAGAAGAATTTGATCCTCTTGACAGTGAATATTTGCCAATTTGTTTGTGTACCCAAGTGACTAACACAGGACCTTGCATGTAGTAGGGATGGAAATGAAATTCTTTACTTGTGGATGAGATAGAGAAATGCAAGGTAAAACCATATCCAATGGATTTGGCACCAGACCAAAGGGATGGTCACCTGTGGTTTGATGCCAGCTTGAAAAGGATAGTCCAATGGAGTATTCTGGGCTCTTCGTGATGGATGTTTTCATGGGAGGCGTGGATCAAGTCATAGATGGCAGACTGAGCTAGAGAGGATAGCAGACATATAAGCAACAGCTAGAACCCAGAAAAGGGCTTGTCAAGCTTGAATATGGAACCACATAGAATCACATGATATTTAATAGGGACAAATGCAAAATCAGATGCTTGCTTCAAAAAACTCAGATTCATCTAGGGGAGGTGTGGCTGAACCATCAGTGGTCCAGAAAAGGTCTGGTGGTGCCAAGGAATGAGTCAATAATGAGATGTGGAAGCCAAAGAAGCAAACATGGGATTAGGTCATTGTCCAGCGTGAGAGAGATGATGATGGTGCCATCGCCCTCTACCTTATCAGACTGTGTCTCGAATGTGGTGTTCAGTTTGGGGTACCTCATGGACAATCAGGAGGGCAACCAGAGTGGGGGTTCCCAAGACGGGGATAGGCCTTGGGAACATGGCCCAGGAGAAGCTGTTATAGGAACTGAAGATTTATAGCCTGGAGAAGAGAAGACTGAGGGGTGGGGGGTTGGGGGATTGACATGATATCTGTCCTCGAGCATTTAAAAGGTCAACCCATGGAAAAGTTATTAGGCTTGTCCATCGTGGCCCCAAAATGCAGAGCTAGGAGCAATGGTGGAGGTTGCAAAGAGGACAATTTAAGCTGAATGTCAGGAAAATGTCCTGCCAATGAGAGCTGCTCTAAATCAAAATGGGGCTGGCTGCCTCGGGAGGTAGGAGGCTCCCCCAAGCAAAGGTTGCGTGACTCCTCTTGGGGCATGTGGTCAGGGAGATTCTCCTTCAGGTGTGAGTTGGGCTAGGTGGTCTCGGAGGGCCCGCTCAGCTCTAAGCCTCTGTAATTCTGAGATCAGGTCATGGACCATGGTACTTGGAGCTGGAAGGACCTTTGAGGCCATCCAGTGGAACACCTTCATTAAATTGTCAGAGCTTAAGAACCTGAGGCCCAGAGAGAGTAAGAGCTTTGCCTGAAGTCATGCAGCTACCCCAAGAGGTGGGTGGGGCCAGTCCCAGAGCCATTTTCCAAGCTAAAATGCCACCACCATTTTGGTCATTTTCACAGGTCAAGGGTTTGACAGACACTTGCTCGCTCTTCGGATCTTGGCCGACACCAAAAAGGGCTATTTGCCTGATATCTTCTTAGACCCTGCCTACGATCAGCTCAATCACAGCTTCGTCTTCTCAAGGTATCTGTTCAACCCGACATTGAATTTCGGGGCCTCTATGCCTATAGTGCCTGATGGCTTTGGGATCGCTTACTTGATACAAGATGACTGCATCATCTTCAATGTCACCTCTTGCTGCAATTACGACATCCAGGACTTCATCCAGAGCCTCAAAACTAGCCTGGAAAAGATTATAGTCATTTTAAAAGGCAAGCCCATTACACGTTAGCACTTCCTGGCCTCCCACAGAATAAACCATGGGAGCTGATTGGATGAAAGAGGAATCAAAGCCTTTCCCTAGGCCCACAGTGACCAAAAACCTCAGTTGGGAGTTAGTGAAACCTTGTCTGCAACCTTCTGGCCATATATTTCAAGGCTTCTCCACCTTTCAGGAATAGATGTTTGACTGCATATGTGGTCATCTAAGAAAGGGCTCATATATCTGGGGTTGTTCCTCCTTATCCCTCCCAACTGTGGCCTCTCTATTTGCCCATCTGTCTAGCTCAGTCATTTACCATCTGTTTCTATCCACCAATCTATCATCTGTGTTCATCTATGTTAAACTATTAATATAACAATCTTATCATTTATCATCTGTCAATTATCTATATGTCCATATCTATCAGCTACTAATTTATCACCTACCTGTTAATTATTGATTTCTATATCTCTTTCTTTACATCTACCCACCTATCATTTGTGTATATATCTGTCCTTCAGTATCTCTCTATATCCATCTATATTATCTGTCTATTGAGATTTCTCCATTTTTTATCTACTTATATCTGCCTAGACTTCCCTCCATCCCTTTATCTATTACTCAGCCATCTTTATAGCTATCTTTCTATCCTTCTCTGTAACTATATCTCTTTTCCTATCTATCTATCTATCTATCAATCCATCTTCTTACAATAAAACTTGAATTTAGCTGGGATGCTTGGGTTAACCTTCAACACTTTTTTCATTCAACTCTTACTCAAAGGCTTTCTAAAACCTCTCAGCCCACTGAACCAAATTCCATCTCCCTCTAATGACAAAGACTTTCACAATACTAGTTTGAGTGTGGACATTACGGAAACTGTCTCTTTGAACACAGTAGTGTAGCTGATAGTGTCAAAGATGGAGCTGAATGGAACGAAAGCCCAGGACACATCCTAGTCATCCTGTCTTTTTTTCCAATAAATCTCTGGTGTCAGCTGGATTGGTCATTTGCCTTTTTTTTTTCAAGTGGAGCACTGAAAATATCGGAATACGTTGATGCTTTTACTGGGTTGAGTTCTTGCTCAGTAGAGCTCTTGTTAATTGTGGATTTGTTTGTTTGCTTTTCCGGCCCCAGCCACCTGAGGGCCTCCTCTTTCCATCACACTTATCGCTAGTTCCACCACTCCTCTCCAGTGACAAGCTGGCCAAGGTGAGAGAGGAAATGCCCAAAGAATGAGTTGGCGCCATGTTGTGGTTGATAAGCCTTCCCCATCACCTTGTCTCTCTTGGCTAGGCCATGCTTGTCTTTGGGAGTTTGTCTCCTCCTTCCCATGCAACCCAGAGGAGGTCTCAGAGAGCTCAAGCTCATCCACAGATGAAAGCAAGTCATCCTGTGAGTGAGCTAGAGGTCGAAGAAGCTCTTGGCCGCCTGTCGCCTTCATCACATCCCCAGGGCGGGCCACCTTGAAGATGTTATCTGATTCCAAGGTCAGGAGAATGGGGGGGAAGAAGGGAGTCCCCTCACAACAGAGGATCTGGAAAAACCTGAGGAGCCTCCTTTGCTCATAGGAGAAGCCCAGAGTTGAGAGCCCCATGGGTCTGAGGGCTGATCCCACTTGAGAGTCCAAGATGGTGGGCACAACTTTACCCCAAATGCCTTAGAGCTCAGGATTCCCTTCAAACACACGACCCCAGTGCTTCTTCAAAATTAGGGCCCGCCAGTCAAGTAGGTGATGATGCAGGAACATTGGTGGTGTCACTGGGTGAATCATGGGACTACAACCCTTGGAGTCCCGGTCAATAAACTATTATATGGTTCCTACTTAGCTAACGCTAAAGAAACACCATTCAGACAAACACCAGGGATATGTGAAGGTGGAAGCATCCTTGAACAGGACTGCTTTGATATGATGTCTTCTCACGATATTTGCCAGGAGAATTTGACCAGCATCCCTTCAACTGGAATCCCCCTCTTCATGCATTAGGTCAGGTAGCCATGCTGTACCCAAGCCTATGTTCCCCTTTCGGTAGGTGCTCTCTGCCTGCAGTACAGCCCTTTCCCAGTCATGTTTCCCCTCTCTCAAGGGGAGGGAAGGCCCGAGGCCTCACTAAGAAGGACTCTAACAAGATCCAGCACTCCTCTGTATCCCTTGCCAACCCCAGTTAGTTCCTAAAAGCCTAGTCCAGGGTTGGAGGTCACAGACCCAGGTTGGAGTTGGAGCCTAACATCTGTAGAGTTCATGGTTTTTTGTTCTTCCTTCCTAATCACCCCCACTTTGGACCCCTCCCACTGGCTGTATAACACTGGTGAAGGGTAGCAGAAGCTTGTGAGCAGTGTCCCATAAAATACCAAAAAGCTACAAAGGAGAAAACAAGTCAGAAAGCCTGGCATGAGAGCCCACAAAGCTAGATTATCCCAGGACCATTCACAGATGAAACAGGTAGGACAATAAATGAAAACCGGAATAAATATTTTCAATGTTTCTATATCAATTGGTTTTCATCATCAGTCATATTGGATTCACCATAACAATGTAAAAAACAAAAGACGAAACCTCTAAAACCTCAGTTTACAGTCCAAAATGTGCTATCTTCAGTTAAGACCTACCACATACAGTGTATACACTCAGCACCAAACATGCTAAGACAAAAACGATACAGTTGGGGAGAACAGCTGGACCGTATATACCACATACAAACAGAAGAAGATATCTTTAAAGTCACTGTCCTTTGTGCCGGAGTTGACATAATTTTGCAAGTGCTGAGGGACCGATTTTCCAGAATATCTGAGAGAGAAAGATAATGAACAATTGGGTCAGCACATGCGGTTTGGATGTCATTTGCCTACCTCCTCGTCTACAGAAAATCTTTATAAAAATGACCCACAACTAATGCACTGTTGGTGGAGTTGTGAACTGATCCAACCATTCTGGACAGCAATTTGGAACTATGTGCAAAAGGCAACCGAACTGCATAGCCTTTGATCTAGCAGTACCCCGACTAGGTCTGTATCTCAAAGAGATCATAAAAAAGGGAGAAGGTCCTATATGTGCAAAAATATTTATAGCAGCCCTTTCTGTGGTGGCAGACTATTGGAAATAAAGGGGATGCCCATCAATTGGGGAATGTGATATATGAGTGTAATAGAATACTATTGTTCCATAAGAAATGCTGAGCAGGCAGATTTCAGAAAAACCTGGAAAGACTGATGCAAAGTGAAATTAGCAGAATCAGGAAAACATTGTACATAGTATCAGCAACACAGTGTGATGATCCACTATGAATGACCTAGTTCTTCTCAGCCACACAATGATCTAAGACAAAATTACACAGGACCCACGATGTCAAATACTATCAACCTCCAGATAAAGAACCGATAGACTCTGAACACAGATGGAAGCATACTTTTTTCACTTTTTTGTGTGTGTTTTTTTTCCTTTTGATCTGTTTCTTCTTTCCCAACTGTGACTAATATGGAAATATGTTTTACATAATTGCACATATATAACCTATATCAAATTGCTTACCATTTTAGGAAGTGGGGGAAGAAGAGAGGGAGGGAGAAAAATTTGGAACTCAAATCTTATAAAAATGAATGCTAAAAATTGTCTTTACATATAATTGGGGAATAAATACTACCAAAAAAAGATAAGCCACAAATAGTTTGAAGATATCTTTGATGGACATATGAGAAAGGAATGGAGAGGTTTTCACAAATCATTTTCTCTAGCACACAGTTCCACCATCACAATTTCCTGAAAAGTGTAAAAAATCCCATTTTTTGCTTTTGGTTCTTTTTAAAAGCATTTGATTTAGCAGAACAAAATGCAGCCTTAAGCACCTTTCTCCAGTAAGATGGCTCTCCTATGTATTACTAGACAAAACTTGATAAATGCAACAATGGAAATATTTTTCATCTGAATATTGATATCAAGAGAGGCGTAAAGCAAAGATAAATACGGTCACCAAAGGTGTGTTCACCATTGTCATGAAGATCAGCCAGTGCAGATTTCCAACAAAAGAAAGGTTCTATACATGCCAAGGCCTTCCTTCTAGATGGGAATGGCATTGTACTCTATTGCACTGAGTCCAGGAGCATTGAAGAACTTTCTAAATGAAATTCACACACACACACTTCATTTATGCCCCTCTCTTCGCTCAGAAAAATCAAGTGGATGAAGAATGTGTACCATCCAGCCCATGATAGAGCCTGTAGAATAGACACTATAGATAGACAATGAGTTAGGCCTAGGTCAATTCAGATGAGAGGAAACAGACTACATTTCACTCGAGAAATTGCTCAGGGCTTTCAAAATCACAGGCTTTCCCCGTGAAACCAAAACTCATCTTTTTTTTTTAAACACCAGTATTCTTCAAATGATACTATATGACTGTGAATCATGGATCACAATATCCAAAGAATAAAAATGGTGGGACACTCAAAGGTTAATGCAGAAAACCTTAAATAGGCCACAGCAATGGTATCAAACTCAGAGATGGATCCCTGCAGGCCACAAGTTGACTTAGAAAACTACAAATGAACACTATTTATGTTGTATTTTTATTTTGTTAAACATTTCTAAATTTCATTTGAATTTGGTTTGGGCAGCACTTGGGAGTTATGTGGGATGCAGGCAGGTGTGAGTTTGACCTCTCTGGGTTATAGTATGCTACCAAAGAAAAACTGCATTGAGAATCAGTGTAAAAGAATTCAAGATGTATGACTGAGAAAGGAGATAGACCAGTCATGTAGTAAGAATAAGGTCTGAGACATCTCCCAAGGTCTCATGATGGAAAATGCTATCCACATCCAGAGAAAGAACTATGGAATTTGAATGCAGATCGAAGCATACTATTTGCTATTTTTTTTCTTCTGTTTTGTTTTGTTTCCTCTTTCTTGTGGTTCCTCCTATTGGTTCTAATTCTTCCTTACAACATGACTAATGTGAAAATATGTTTAATAGGAATGTATATATGTAGCCTATGTCAGATTGTGCACTGTCTTGGTGAGGGTGGTGGGGAGGAAGGGGGAGAAAAATTTTAAACTCAAAAGCATATGGAAGTGATTGTTGATAAATCAAAATAAATTAATTTTAAAAAAAGAATAAGATCTAATATACGGACAACCTTTGTGTCAAATTGGTACACATAGAACATTAGACCAGCACCCACTAGCGTTGCCTCCTGCAGAGGATATGTGAGTAAACACAGGCAGGAGTCACACAAGACGAGAAGTCATGGATGGGTAGATCTTCACCAATGGAAAAAATAACCACATGGATCCTCTGGAGTGTATTTTCCAGTATAGTTCAAGGCACCAGCAAATAATAAAATCATCCACATTTGTTTCTTTTTGTGTGTGTGTTAACACTTTTATTTTCTCAGACTTCAGGGTTTATACATGCAAAAATGGATGGAATAGAATACAACTCAATTCTTTTAAGTATACAAAAGATAGTTTTAGAAACATTTTAAGATACCTCAAAAGAGTGTATTTTAGCTCCTCTTCCTCCTCCTCGTCCTCCTCGTCCTCACCATCACCACCACCATTTTCCTCTTCCTGCTTCTGTAGCTGCTGCTTCTCTTCCCCACCCCCTTCCCTTGGAGCGGACCATGCTGATGCCTCTTTTTGTGAAGCGCAGGCTGAGGAGACCCCCGGACACGCCACAGCCCACAAAAAGCCAAAGCAAGGAGTCAAGACTGAAGGCGACAAGGCAAGATAGTTTGGCGGGGGGCAATTTAAGATTAAGAGGCACACACCACTTGGTAAACTAATGAAAGCCTATTGTGAACAATAGGGTTTGTCAATGAGACAGGTCAGATTCTGACTTGATGGGCAACCAATCAATGGAACAGACACACCTGCATAGTTGGAAATGGAGGATGAAGAGCCAATTGATATATTCCAGCAGTAAACAGGAGGTGCTTACTAAAAAGAGAACCTACAACTCTGCTCCAGAACTGTACTCCCAAGGAAAACAATACACTCATAAT